ATTTTTCCCGTGGAAAACCTTGACCTGAGAATTCTTTCTGCTTGCTTCTGGCTATCTGCTTGCCTACCTCTTCACTATGTAAATGAAATTTATTGTGGGTGCATAGGCCCTTCTGGCTCCCACAGATAAGTACCCCAACATGGAAGCACAGACTCCGGACACTGCTGCTTGACCAGAATGTGGGCGCCACCACTGATACCATTCTGAAACTGTGGACTCTTCCCTTCCTGGGGAAACTCGTGAGTTGGCATTTTATGCACTGCCACAGAGAGCTCCTCGTAGAAGGACAAAATGGAGAGAAACACAGAAGCCTGGGCAGTTAGTACAAATCTACCCAGCTGGGAGGATTAGCTAAAAGGGGCTGAGATGATCTAATCCAACTACTTCATTTAAATAAACTAAGAAACTAATTCCCTGACAAGCCAGGAGTTCAAAGGCACACAAAATTGTTAGGTAGGTTCCGATGTAGATGCTTCAACCTCTCCACCCACCCCATCCCCCGCCCATATATAATCACTTTCCCTAAGACCCTCTCCTTTCCCCAGTGACATCTAGGAGCCTTAGACCCTTATCAAAAGCTCTAATTGCAGGGGACTGGGGGATGGGGGGGGGCTGGGTGGCTCAGTAGGTTAAGTGTCCAACTTTTGATTTCAGCTCAACTCACAGTTCATGAGTTCGAGCCTTGTGTTGAGCTCTGTGCTGAGAGTGTGGAGACTGCTTGGGATTCTGTCTCCCTCTGTCTCTGCTTCTCTCCCGCAAAAGTAAATAAACTTTAAAAAAAAATACTCTAATGGGAAAAAAATGTGATCACACACTAATGTATAAATAAACAAACAGCGCTTTTGAGTAAGGTGAGGGAAGAGACCGTTTTTAAACCGGTCAAGCTAATAGTGAAAGAGAGGTCATCAGCCTAACCTCACACAGGGGCCCTGACAAGAGCCCCCAAATCACACCCAACAGCTGGTTTTCTACCCAGCCTTAGGCGAATAGAGAACTAAAGCTTGAAACTCTTCCAGGTCAGTTCAAGTGGGCTTACAAAGAAGTTCAAGTGGGCCTGCAGAGCTCAGGTCTTATCTGCAAGCCTGCCTATCGTCCTCTAGAGCCTGCGCCTCGTAAGCGGGAACACTGTCCCACGGAAAGGTGTGTCCCACGTCTTGCCTAAATGGAAATCAGAGCTCCACACACGCCCTGGCATTCTTGCTTGCAAATGCTCCTTTCCAATCCATATCTTAAGAATACCATTCACTCTGGTTTCACCTGGCGGAGAGAGAAAACAATTCTTACATCGGTCCACTTTTCACCCAGTCAAAGCCACCATCATCTCTCTCACTTGATTCCCGCCAAGAGTCTTGTAACTGGCACCCTTCCTTCCATTTTTTACTGTTAACATCTATTTTCCCCACGGTGAGCAGTGTGATCTGTAAAAAGAACAAATCTGGGACCCTGGGTGGCTCAATTGGTTAAGTGTCTGACTCTGGGTTTCGGCTCGGGTCATTATCTCCTGGTTCATGAGTTTGAGCCCCGCATGGGGCTGTGGTCTGACAGTGCAGAGACTGCTTGGGATTCTGTCGCCCTCTTTCTCTGCCCCTCCTCCACTTGCTCTCTACTTCTAGAGAGAAAGAGAGAGAGAGAGAGAGAGAGAGAGAGAGAAAGAAAGAAAGAAAGAAAGAAAGAAAGAAAGAAAGAAAGAAAGAAAGAAAGAAAGAAGGGAGAAAATCCAATGTGTTACTCCCCTGCTCAAAGTCCTCCGGGGGCACCTGGAACCACATGCAGAGTGAGCGCCATGCTCTCTAGGCATTGTGTGGCCTGACGCTGCCTGCCTGTTCCCCCTCACTCCAGACCCTCCCCCGCTGCTCTCTGCCTCGTGGTCACACAGACCTTCTTTCTGTTCCTCGGGCACGCACAGCTCTGTGCACCTTCAGACCTTAGCACCTGCTGCCCCCTGTGCCCCCAGACCTGCCGTTGGCTGGCTCTTTCTCCCCACCCCATGGCCAGCTCAGATGTCGCCTCCAGCAGGCCTTCCCTGGCCGCAGCTGGGCTAGGCAAGCCCCACCTCTGCCTGCCACTCTGAGCATACCACCTTAGCTTTATTTCCTTCACAACACTTCACTTACTGAATTTAACTGATCCATGGGTCTACCATGTATTTCTCCCACCAGGATCAGAGCTCTGTGAATGCAGAGTTGCTCATCTTGTTGATAACTCTATCGCCAGCACCAGGCCGGAGCCTGGCACGTAGTGGACCTGCATCGCTACATGTCGAGGACATGAATGAAAAAATGAAGGAATAAATATTTTCTATACAAATTGAACTGACTGTGTTTTAAGGAAAGGCCGAGCCCTCTGGTAAGCCCCATGGAGACGGTGTCGTAGGTCCTGCCTGCCCTCACAAGAAACGCCAACAATGGCATATGCTTCACTAACAGGGAAATGTAGGTAGAAGATGGAACGTGAGATCATGTGCCTCCATCAGGCATTTCCCTAATTAATCATCGACACTCATAGCCGAAGATCCCCATAGCACCAACTCTAGCATCGATCTGAAGGAAACCTATTCATTTCAGCTGACAAAAACATGCTGTCATTTTCATTTCCATGACAAAGCATGCCAATGTAGCAGAAATATTTTGATTGATTGAACATCTTTCTTGCAATTCAAGTGGCAATTGATCAGCTCACCAAGGGACAAATAGTCCAACAACTCAAGTCAAAAGCAGGAAGTCTTTTCTTTCATTACTTACAAGACATAAGAAAGGCACTGAGAATTCAGGAAATTACTAATATTTAAAATTTTCTTTTAGGAGACACTAAACCGTGACACTGTCACCCATTTTGTTTGGAACAAGGAAAGATACCTACATGCGTGTGTGTGTGTATGTACGTGTGTGTGCGCACACATGTATCTATAAATTAGACAACAAGCAACCAGAAGCACTGTAATAGCCCACTGTACTGCCTGCAGAACATCAACCCCAAGGCCAGTAAGGCATCTTCATCCAACACCACCTTGGTTCCTGGCCCCACAGACACCAAATGAAATAATAGAACTGAAAGCACTCTGAGTCTCTGAAAACAAGCTATAGGAATATTTTAAGGAGGGGAAAAAAAAAAGCACCCACAAATACAGTCTCTAAGAGGAGGGAAAAAAGGATGTTGCATAAAGAGAGAGTCAAGGTGTTAATTGTTGAAGAGTCCTTCAGGTTGAAGAGAGCCGTCCTCTGCGTCCGGAGGCCACCCAGCTCTGCTTTTCAAGGATTGGCAGTGATCAGACTCCCTCTGCAATAGGCTGTTTACTCAGTGGCCCTTCTGACAGCCAAAATGCTCGGAGCTGCTCAGGTGCTCAGGCTTGGGCTGGGCCAAGCAGGTTTCTACCACACCCAGGTTTCAGCTTTGGTAGAAAATGAAAATGGCCAAAGAGTTTTAATGAGTTGTTAATGATTTAAGTATGCACAGTGATATGCTTGCAAGATAAGACAGAAGGAATCTAACCAAGAATACAGTCAACTTCTATGAATGCAGTTCTGCAAGCCCCCCAACCCCTCAGCCTCCCCCCCATAAAATTAGGAAGCTTCCAAAAAAGAGCTAAGGCTGGAAGATCCTACGCCTCGATACCCTCTCTGAAGAAGCCCACTCATCCCCTTCCTAAAAAAGCACTCTATTCTTTTCTCTAAACTCTCCTGAACAGAGTATTCAATAGCCTTCCTTTGTATTTTCAGCTTATTGCTCCGCAAACACCTGGCTTCTGCCTGAGGTCAACTGCTTACTGAGGACAGGACTAAACTTGAGTTGTTTCTTGTAGACAAAAGTACAATGGCGGCCGTTAAGACCACCTACTTGAAAGAAAACTAGTTTTAAGCTGATGAATAAACTCCATGCTTACATGTTCTCACACTTGGTACATATTTCTAAAACATCCCAGTAGTTGTACCTAAGTGGCTCAGTTGGTTAAGCGTCTGACTTTGGCTCAAGTCATGATCTCGCAGTTTGTGAGTTCGAGCCCCACGTTGGGCTCTGTGCTGACAGCTCTGAGCCTGGAGCCTGTTTCAGATTCTGTGTCTCCCTCTCTCTCTGCCCCTCGCCTGCTCACAATTTGTCTCTCTCTTTCAAAAATAAACATTAAAAAAAAAAAGTTTAAAACATCCTAGTAAGATAAGAGGTGGGAAAATGGTTCCCTTGGTTAACTGAGAAGGAAATGAAATGAAAAAAAGAAAAAAAAAAAAGTCCTGCTAGGTATACACAGGCCATTCTTCTGCACATTTTTGCAAGCAGATTTTATTTTCTTCACTCAAATTTATCCAATTTTGGAGTTTGCAATACCAAAGTAGATCTATAAGGCCCTTCAATAGTCCATTCTCAGCTCTAAAAGAAATTTTGTTTAACATTAAGTCAAGACACTTAGATTGCTATAAATAAGAATGATTCTAGGTCATGAGTAAGATGGCTTTTCAAACAATCAAGAACGGCATGTCATAATCACCTGCTAGATGTCCAGCACTATGTTAAACACCAGTGATGGGCACCAAAGGAGTGTAAAATGAGTTCCTGTCATCTCCACCTACAATCTAGAGACAGCTCTCAATTAATTTACCAACAGATGACGTTACATAATAAGGCTATTTGCAATTTCAAACACATTTCACCATAAAAGGCATGCTATGGTGTTTCAGTTCTCAGGTGGGTAGGAAACCAATTTAGCCTGTAATGTAATTGAAATACTGAGTATGTGCAAATGAAACCTGATGTGGAAAGCTGGGGTAACACTAGAATTATCTAACGTGAGTGTGGTGCTTTGTTAACTACCGAGTTTCGCACATACATAAACTTCACCATGATACTGTGGATAGGTGGTGTTTGGTAGGCTGTGGTAATATTTCCAACGTCTGAGGAAACTGAGGCACAGAAAGCCCAGAAACTGCTTCCAAGTCACAGGGCTACTGTGGCAACAGAACCCTAAGGCAGCAGGACTCTAACTCTTCCAATTCCAAATCCCGCTAGCACAAAACTCAATGAGAAATAGGTGTGGAGTGTTTTGTTTGCCTTTGGCGTTCAAGACTGGTGCCTGAGAAAAAGAGGAAATTTCATTTGGGAAAGATGAGGAGGTAAATGGAAACTTTTAGTGCTTCAGAAGGAGGCTTAGGGGCACTTTAGAAGCTTTTGACATTGACAGCACTGGTGCTTTATTGCTTTCATTTCCCTGCAAGCCTCTTGGAGGGGCTGTTCCCCTCTTTCAGGTTGTCTTCACCTTTTCAAGTTCACCTGCAAGGCTTAAGGTATGTTGGAGGAGGGTGTTCGATTTGGGTTTTAATTCATGAACGGGAACACGCCATCCAGGAGGGTTTGAGAAGAATTTCCTGATAGCTGGGTAAGGGCTGGAAAAGAGAAAGGAAAAATGATGGTGAAGGCGAGGAGCGTGTGTATGAGAAAGATTGCCTGACTGGGAATCAGCCGAATTGCAAACCTAGAAAGAAAAGCACAGGGGGGTGGGGACTGAGGGAGGCCACTGTTCTATTAAAGAGTCCGTGAGGACCAGCATTGAGTTAGCCCTTGCCACTGCGTCATGAGGCCAAGGCAGATGAAGGAGGAGGCGGCCCTAGCCATGACCCAGCTCTGCATAAATACGGTCTCTTCCCTCGGGGAGCACCGACAGTCGAGAAGACATCTACAACATTAGCAGATGGCAACACGAATAATCACACATCTATGACTTCCACAAAAATCCCTCTCTACGTGAATAAAAGTGCAAAGTGTTTCATTCATTCATTCATTCATCCAATAATCCACTGAACATTTACTATGTGCCAAGCACCACACTAGGTGTCAGAAAAACAAAAGTAAACAGGGACAGTCCCTGCCTTCAAGGAGCTCACGGTTTAGCAGGCGAGAAAGATGTACACATCAATAAGTGCAAATGGTCAATGGGTATGAATTTCTTTAGTTTGATACTGACTACGGCAATGGCACAGTAGGCTTCCAGCATAAACAGAGCCCAGTACGTTCTGCAACATGCGCTACTTGGCAGACTTGCTATTTGTCGTTTACCCATCCGTATACAGAGGCTCCCACTAACACTTAGGCCAAATCTATGTTATTAATCACATATTTGCTGGCTAAGTCACTTTCCTGATGCCTACCCTGCCCAAATCACTGTTTTGTTGCCAAGGGGGAAGAATGTGTGCATGTAAATCTCGCCCAAATTGTGTAAGAGCAACCTGAACTTGGGGTGGCACTGAAAAGGCTCACCAAAGCATGGCATGTCCTTTCAAGTACAGCCCAGAAAGCAACAGGTGATTCACTTCAACAAACATCCTTGCGTCAACGTTATGTAGGTCAAGTCCCATTAAACAAACTCCAAGAGAATGTCCACCTTCTTCTGTCACAGCAAATAAAATCTTAGTTTATATTTGTTTGGGCTGTGTAATTTACAAAGCATTTATGAAATGATTGTTTCATTTAATCAACACAGCAACCCCTAGTTATAAGTACTATATGGTCATCTTTTATCTGAAGAAGCTGAGGCCGGGAGAGGTTAGGGAACTACGCAGGGCCATGCAGTTAATGGCAAGCGTCAGGGCTGCATTTGGCACTCAAGCCTTCCCACCTCCAGTTGGATGTTTCGTTCTACCAAACCGTGCCTTAAAATTCCCAAGACAACCACCTATGCTCTCTGTTACTTAGAAAGAAAAAAAAAAAAAAAAAAGGTGGGGGGGGTTGGTGCCTGGGTGGCTCAGTCAGTGGAGCATCCGACTTCGGCTCAGGTCATGATCTCGCAGTTTGTGGGTTCAAGCCCCGCGTCGGGCTCTGTGCTGACAGCCAGCTCAGAGCCTGGAGCCTCTTTCAGATTCTGTGTCTCCCTCTCTCTCTGACCTTCCCCCACTCATGCTTTGCCTCTCTCTGTCTCAAAAACAAACATTTTTTATAAATTAAAAATAAATAAAAAGGAGGACAATAACTTCCAGAGTCTCCTTGGATCCAACACATTGGATGAAAGTAAATCACAGGCCATCCTGTTTAGAATAGAAGTAACACAAAAAATCCAAAGCCGTTGGATGGAGGTGATGACCGAAAACATTCAGTTCCACTGGCAATACCTAAAATATATATTTGCCTATAAATAGCTTTAGCTTGATCCCCTCCCTCAACAAATCCCACATCACAATGTCCAATCAAACTCTATCTGAGAACCATCTTGCCATCCCAAAGTGATTCAAATTAAGGCGATTAGCCACTCCTGCCTCCACACCTCGAAACAGCACCAGCACCACCCGGTCCTGTTCTGCTGAACTCAGCCTCTCCCACACTCCCTGGGATGCTTTTAAAATAACTTGTTCATTAGCTAGTTCTTTGTCAACCATGGGAGCTAGGGGGGTGGTGGGGGCGTGCGGTGGAGGGGAGGGGAGTAGAGGGGGGCTTGGATTGACTTTTCTGTAATTCGCAGGCTGAGTCTCCGACTGACCAAGTCTCAGAGAGGGAGACATGTTCATCAGCAGAGCAGAGAGGCTCAGGACTCAGATTTTTCCTTTCCTGGTTTAGCCAGTGCTCTCCCCTACAGGGTGTGGGAAAAGAAAATGCTATGAATTCCCAAACCCAAACACCAAATCCCCTGGAAGGGGGGAACATTTCTCCAGCTGAAATGTAAGAGAGCTGCAAACGAGGTCAGGTATTTGGCGTGTACGCGAGGTGTCACCGATTTCACAGTTGCTGTGCAACATTCCCAATTTAGAAGAAAGGAAAATGACAGATTTAATGAAGGGGGGAAGCGGGGATGGGATGGCACTGTCACTTACCTGATGAAATTCCTCCTTGAATGGAACTGTCATCTCAAATTCAGGAGTCTAAAATCACCCTCATTCCCTGGCCAAGTGCAACATCTTTCATTCTGTCATTGCCACCATCATTGTCCCTGTGTTCCCAGCTCAGAATGCCGGGCGTACCGACTCCCACCTCGCCCCTGGCTCCCACACCCATCTCTGCGGCTCAGCACCCCGTCCCCTCGTGACTATTGTGTGGCCAAGCGTGTACCAAGGGTAAAGGAACAAGCTGATTTGGGAGTCAAACCCAGTGGTGACCTGGGCCTTAGTCACCACTCTACCACAGGTCACCAGTCACCTTGGATTAAGGGCCTGCACAAAGCTTTCTAGTTCAGTTACTGGAGACTCATGCTTCCCTCACTTGTGGCTCTAAAAATTGGTCACATTTAGCAACGTATTGGCAGCACCCACCACGGGGGCCCGGCACACACCAGTGTATGCTGTGTGGGCAGGGGCAGGCCTCCCTGGCCAGTCTGGCACAACCGAGGAGCCTCTCTGAAACACAGCTTCATCAGGGCACTCTTCAGTCCGACTGCCCCCCTGTTCTCCACTGCCTCAGCGCAGAGCCAGAGACTCCGCAACAAGGTCATCCAAAACCATCCAGCCCCATCCTGCTCCTCTGCTCCGGCCAGAGTCTGCTCACTCACTCAGCAAACGTTCACAGGGTGCCGAGGACACGCAGACACAGAGCTGGACACCGGGAAGGTGAAATGAAAGGCTGCCTGGCAGGGAGCTTGGGTCTGAGGAAAGGGGCTGGAGGCAGGAGTGAGGAGGGATAAAACCATCCTTGTATTACGGTGTAGGAAGTGATGCAGGAGCGGCGGCCGCTGTGGGGGCTGTGGGAACTCGGCTGAGGGAGGCACACACACTGCCTCTGTTCTCCCCTCCCACTCTGGAGTTGGCCAAAGCCTACTCCGTAAGTCAAGGTCTTATTCACTGTGGCCCACACCTCTCCATCTCTGAATTCCTTAAGTTCTTATCAACATTACTCATTTGCAGTCATCCACTGGCTGATGTCACTTCTTGTATTGCCTTGGGTTAGTTGTTGTGTTTTTTTTTTTAATTGTTACTTTTCATATACGTTGGCTGTTTTTCTCCACCGGTTTATAAGATTGCAGAGGATATAGACCAGACTCTAGTTACCTCTAAATCTGTCACAGAACCTATATAACAATTATTTGTGGCAGAGGAGATATATTTGGAACCACTGACAATACATTCATTTAATGGTGACAAACACATGCTCCCTTCACTCCTAGGTCCTGGCTTCCGCAGGTGGTATCGATGTGTCCAACCCAAGATGAGAGAGAAGACCCCCGGGTGTCTCTGGAAACTTTTCAAAACATAATTCACTAAAATTGTAATTTCTAACCTTAGGAAAATGTCTGTCAGTGAAAAAAGTTCTCATCCCAGGTGGTACAGGGTTAACCCCACTATAGCATCATGGAGGGCACATCTTGTCCACAGGTACTTGCGGACTCGACATAGACACAAATGTGACACTACAAATCAATGGGGAAAAAGAAGGACCCTTTCAGTAAGAGAAACTAGAACAGTTAGCCATATGGAATATAAAATAAAGTTAGGTCCCCACCTCATACCAGTGACAAAAATAAACGCTTCATTTACTCAACACAGAGATGGGAGAAGAAAACCTTTAGAAAAAAAATACAGGTGAATATTCTTGTAATTTCAGGATAGAAAAGGTTGTGTGGGGGGCGGGGGGGAAAGGGAAAGAAAGAAAGAAAAGTCCAAACAACAAAACAGAAGCTAGATAGATGCAACTTACAACAAAATTTCTTCAACATAGAGAATCTGATAAAAAGTGAAAAGATAAGGCAACCCTGGGACAGGTATGTACAACCCGTATCACCAACAAAGGATGGGTAACCAGGATATAAAAGGAACAGCTACTCAGCAATAATAAGAAAAAGAAAAACAACCTCAAGGAGCCTCTTCTAGATTGCAGTTCAAGAACTGCTCTGGGTAAGGCCCCGGCTCATATTCTCCCAGAGCTTAAAGGACAGAAACACAGTGAGGTGACGTCTCCTCCCACCTATATATGTTTATATTTTATTATCATTTATAACATGTGTTATCAGATATCTCGATTTATCTATACAACAACACTGGGATGGAGGCAAAACATATAGTGTAACATTTTATTGACAAGGAGATCAAGACTCAAGAAGGCAGATGATAACTTCAGGGAAACATACAGCACTTCTGAGTTAGAAGCAAAACCTAGCTTTTCCACCTTTTAATCCATAATCTTTTCATTTAAAAAAAAACAACACACAAAACTGGGGCACCTGGGTGGCTCAGCCAGTTAAGCGACCAACTCCTGGTTTCGGCTCAGGTCATGATCTCACAATTTGTGGGTTCAAGCCCCGTGTTGGGCTCTGTGCTGACAGAGCCTGCTTGGGGCTTGCTCTCTCTCTCTCTCCTTCTCCCTGCTCTCCCCTGCACCCTGCACAAAAATAAATAAACATTAAACACACACACACACACACACACACACACACAGAGTCAAAACTGCCTCTACTTTTAGGAACACCTGGGTGGTGCAATCATTTAAGCATCTGACTTCAGCTCAGGTCATGATCTTGCCATTTGTGGGTTCAAGCCCCTCATCGGGCTCTGTGCTGACAGCTCAGAGCGTGGAGCCTGTTTCAGATTCTGTCTCCCTCCCTCTCTGCCCTTCCCCTGCTTATGCTCTGTCTCTCTCTGTCTCTCAAAAATAAATAAACATTAAACAAAATTTTTAACTGCCTCTACTTTTAAAAAAAAATACATGTTCAGACAAAAATCTGTATATGAATGTTCACAGCAGCTTTATTCATAATCACCCCAAACTAGAAATACCCCAACTGTCCTTCAATCGGTAAACGGTTAGTAAACCAACGTACACCCCCATTATGGGACACTATTCAGTAATAAAAAG